ACCCTAAATACCTTGGATCTATGTTTTCTCTATTATACATGCAAATATGAATATTCCAAGGTATTACCCTATCTAGCATACAATCTATGATACTTGGGTAATAAAACAAGTTAGAATACATACCTTGTTGATGTAGCTTGTCTTCATGAAGCTTGAGTGCCTAGTGCCCCAAGTGTGACACCTCAAATGGTTCACACAACACTATGAACACTTGGAATAACCTTGAGAATAAGGATACTTGGTTCTTTCTAGCGAAATCGGCTATCCCTCTTAGTGTACCCACACTAGTGCCAATCTCACCAACCAAGGACATCTTTATATAGTGTGGAGACTAGGGTTAAACCCATGACCTTTCATTTCATATGATCCATGGGTTAAACACTCCATGGACTATCCATGAAAGCTTAGCCCAACCTAAATGAACTTGGCCCACCACACATATATATCTAAGAGTCCATATTTAATTAGTTCCTTTTGATCACTCAATTAATTATAAATTAATTCTTGATCAATACTAATTAAATAATATGATTATATATTAATATATTAGAACTTATAATATATTAATATAAATCACTAGTATCCTTTTTTTCCTCATCTTGTCAATCCAATTGTCCTGATGCCATGCAACCCAAATGGACATGCTGGGTCGGGTCAAGTCTTACCAATTATAGTTATGGACTTAGACATTAATCCAACAATCTCCCACTTGGATAAGTCTAAAACTATTATTGCAAGTATGACTTTATAACCCGACTCGCAATCGTAGCTCTCAAAAGCTTCTGTCGAACTCTGACCTTGCCGATGAACTCAGACCTTTGTCAATGACTTGTCCATTAGATAAGGGATCATATATTCCTCCATTCTAGATATCATATGGACTAAGACATGGATTATAAATCATTCTCTCTGTCCATTTGTTGTTTCCCGATTTCCGATTCATGACGACTGACTGATTGAACAGATCAAATCAGTCCTGGCTTGGCCAAGCACTCACATGTATCATCATTAAATCATCGAGGGGCCCACAAATATCGCTTTTATCCCGAAGGTAAAAGGAATGGATAAACTTCGACTTATATGGCTTGTTCTACTACTTGTTGAATCATACACAAAGGCACGTTTTATAACATCGAGTTACCAATGCGGTTTCGTGCAATCAATGTATAACCAACTCATAGTAACAACTCATATCTCTAGGTTTGAAGAATATAAGATATTATCGTCTCATGATCACTCGTGATAAAATCCATGAAGTGATTCCAATGAGCGCGGGTTGAATCCAATACTCAGAACTTATGAGCACTCATGAGTGTTGTAGCACCACTTTGTCCAACATCTTAGACCTCTACAAGCCAACCCATGACAGTCTTGATTCATATCTACTTCCAACATATGACCGACTGTGGATGGTTTGAATAACTTAGTCATTCAGGAAGAATGACCTAGTTTATTCTGGAAGTCAAAACATGCAAAATGAAACACAAGAATAATTGAATCCAATATGGTCTCAGAACTTATGAACATAAATAAACATCTTTTATTTATCACCATATTGATTACCCATCATTCATTGCATACTGTTTCAAACAATCAACTTTATACTTGAATTAAAACAATAGTTGTCCCATGCTCCAAGCATGTACACTATGTTTTCTAAACACTAGTCATGCCATACACCAAGTATGCACACTATGTTTGTTTAAACATTAGTTATGCCATACTCCAAGTATGCATACTAAGTTTGTCTATGATCTTTACTTTGTGAAATAGATCGATTGCACATAACTCCAATGATTCTCATTTCACAGTCACGAATCCTTACCGTAAATGCAGGAATTCCAAATTCAATTGACTGAGTGAATGTTGATAATGTTGATAAGGTGCAACAACTTGTTGATAAGGTGCAATAACCTGTATAGTGGATAACTTGTTGTTAAAATTGTCAAAGACACATTAAAATCTTTACACATTTTACATGGACAACTTGTTGGCTTTGTTGTTGATGAAGCACATTGTGTAAGGTATAACAATGTCCGATTCTACTTACTCTTAATTTTACACTATGATATATAACCATACATACTCATTGTTGTTTATTCAACAATTGGGGACATGATTTTCATTTAGATTATAAAGTGTTGAGGTGTCTAAAGCAGAATTTTCCAAATGTTCCTGTGATGGCATTAACTGCTATTAAAACTGCCTGGAAAGTTAGCATAAGATGGATTCAAAAACCCATTAAAAGTTGGTTATTAAGATGTATTAAATGATTGAGTAAAGCAATGTAATAGTTGGTTATTTAGATGTGATGTATTAAAAATCAAAGGGTTTTTTTTTGTAATCATATTTTCATGTTATAATGTTCTATTTATTAAAATTTTAATAATTTTTTTAATTGATATGGTTAAATTTATTTATGTTGTATTTAATGTTATATTTAGTGTTATATTCTTAGGGTTAATGTTATATTTATTAAATTTTTAATAATTTTTTAATAATTAATGGTCCCCGATTAATCCCCCAATTAATCTCCACCTAGCCGATTAATCCATTGATCCCAGTCCACCGCCGAGCCTACATCGAGTGTTTTCTGCAACCTTGGTTTTGACATACCACACGGACAATTTTTGTAATTTTGTAAAAAAAAAGAAAAAAAACAAGGCTTCCCACAAAGGTGTAAACTAATTTATCCATATCACCCTAAAAATGAATCTCAAACACACCCCAAAATAGAATCGCACTTAAGGGGTGTTTGGGAAAACTTTTTAAAGTTAAAAGTCCTTTTTGGCTAGTGACTTTTTCCAAAAGAAAATGTTTGGATTTGTTTTTAGTTAAAAAGTCCCAAAAATCATAAAAACATAGAATTTATGACTTTGAAACATTTTCTTTTCCTTTTATGTAAAAAGTTATTTTAAAAGATTTTTTTAATACCAAAAGTTAACATTTTTTAAACTTTTTTTAAAGTTAAAAGCCAAAATTGTTTTAAAAACTATCGGGAACACCCTCTTATTTCGTGAAACCAAAGTAGAATCAAAACCCAAAAGCAAAGCAACTAGAACTGAACTTGCTTTATCTTGGTTTGTCTTCTTCGTATTGATCGGGTATGCAGATTCATGAAGACCGTCGAATTCAGATATTCATCTTGTTTTATGTTTTTCATAATCATCAGGTCTGGAGATCCAAAATTTGTTTTCCACATTGGGGCGAAGGGACCCCCACGGCGGTGCTTCATTCACCTCAGCCAATCCAATTTTAATTAGATCTTCTTGTTCTAGGATTTCGTTTTCAATTTCGTTTTGATTTTTCGAAGTGCAGTCCAGCAGACTCGCAAACGTTAGATGCCTCTAAAAGAAGGGGTATTGAAATCACAAGCGATATCAAGGAAGATAACGCCATGTCGCCATGTGAGCATCGAGAATAAAGGGTTAGTGTTATTTTTCCTGTTCATCTACAGATTTTATCTAGAATCATGTAAGACCTTTCTCCTTGTTCCCAATTTTATTTGGCATTTGGATGTTGTCACTGATTTTGGCAATCTGATTTGCGGATACAAAGTGAGGGTATTTCAGATTTGAATGATGTGATATTGTTTTGAATATGCTTGATTGGATTTCCTTCTTACATAATATACATCTGTTTTGTGTGATTTCACTATGCGGTGAAGCCCTAATTCGAATTTTCCCCAGGAATATGTTAGGTTTTATACTTGTTGAGCTAAGGGTTAGATTAGTACTCATAGTGAGAAAATTTATACTTTAGCTGTTGCAACTAGGTTTCATTTTTTAGGCCCTTTGGCTGTTGCAAAATCCCAACATGTTGAATATCACAGAGCTAGTTTAATATAGTGATTTGATCTATACCATGTTTAAATTAGTAGGAGGATACTTGAGAAATGTATTGGGAAGTAACAGATTATGTTGTTCAACACATTTTCAAAATGTTAGGTTTTATACTTATTGAGCTAATGGATACTTCAGAAATGTTTATATGGAAGAAACCAGGTCTAGCATTCTTTTTATGATGTTCTCTTTATTGGTTGGTGGGTTCTTGTGGCTTTTTGGATACCTGAATATTGATTAACTGCAGATTCTAAGAACAAGTGGGTGAGAAGTTCTTGTGGAAGAAAGCTTATTGTCCAGAAGAAGAGAGCCTCACTTAATGACTTTGACAGGATCAAGATCATGTTGGCAAAGATAAAGGTGACTTAACTTTCAGTTTGCAATTTAAAGATTGAATCACTACCGGACTATTGCTAGAATATGGCTTTTCATTCATGTCTATTTGAGATGATTTTTTTTTCTTTAATGGTTCTTAATATGATGATAAAACACTTATTTTTGTAGTGAAGTTGCATCTTTTTTCCAATGTATGCAACAAAAATGGGTTTTTTTTAACTATCTTTGTAGCCATTTTTGTTATCGATAACAGTTTATGCTATGGTTTACCAAATTGGCTGCATAAATTTGTAATAACATGAAACATGGCTTCATAAATTGATAAAAAAAAAAAAATATATCGATAGCAGTATGTAGCTATCTCTTTTATTGTCAAATCTCAACATATCCATTTCCTAAGAGTGTCAATTAATCCAATACCATCCAATAAATTCTTAACCCACATGTGTAAAAAAATACTAAGCAGTACTGAATGTTGCAGAATTGGTCAATCACTTGCAAATAAAAGTCAATAGCTGTAAGGAATAAGTGAGAGAAGGGTTTTGCGACATTTAGTAATTTAGTATAAAGAGTAAGTATCAAATTTATAAAATTAATGTTTGGACTTTTACACATCTTTTGTATTTGTCTCTTATTGAACAAGACAAATGTCACAGTACAATTGGATCACAAGCGAGGAGAAAGTGAGAAGAGAGTTTATTAGTGAGAAAGAGGAGGAAGGAATGATACTATTGAAACTCATGTTTCTTTATTTATCCCCTTGAAAAATATCGGATAGATGACATGTTGGTTAACCACATGGGCAGTTCTTGCATTCCGAATTCACTTAATGATTAATGCAGTCAGTGAAGTGAGGTGCTGTATTTCTTCTGGCATCGACTCCCAGTGATCCCAACCTCTTAGTTCCAAGTAGTGAAGGTGGTTCCTTAACTTCTCGATGCCTTGGAGACTCGGGAAAGAATCCAGCTCCTTCGAGAACGGACCAAGTGTCAAATCATTTAAGAAGGCAAAACATTCAAACATTTCATGAGGCAAGGAAGTCAGGTTGTTGCAATGGCTAATAGACAAAGTCTTCAAAGAATGACACTCGTTGGGCAAATTGGCTATTCCTAAAAGACTAGGGCACCTCAAGATAGATAAAAATTCAAGAGATGTAAGACCTTGTATGCTCGTAATGGACACCAGACCATTGCAGTCACTAATTTCTAAGGAAACAAGAGGATGGGGATGGCATTCATCTATGAGAATAATCTTTGGGCAATGACGAATGACCAAGCCCCGGAGGACAGGCGATATCATTTTTGAGCTGTTGGGTGCTCCATCTATCCACTTTTCCAGTCTTTCCATACCCCATAGTATGAGTGATCTCAACGATGGAGACAAAGGCTTCGTTGATCCGTTAACATCAGAGCTCCTTAAGCATGTTAGGCTGTCCATATTCCATAAAAAAAGATTCCGAAGATGTGGTAGGTGCTCAAGTGTCGGAAGAGAGAGGCAGCTCCTACAGTCATATAATCTGATCTCCACAAGCTTGTCAAGGGGTGTCCATTTCCCTTCATTATGGATTGCCATCTTCGTTACCCATTCTGCAAAATTATCACCTATAAAGTTGCTAAATGTCAAAATTTTCACATCTCTAGGGGGTTGCAAGCCTTCCAATACATCCTTGTCACCTCTGTTGGAACCTTGATCATCCTCACTCCAACTGAAATCAATCTCGTCTAAATTTTTCTTTCCAGATAAATCTGCCTTGACAGCATCCTCTTTGCTAGGGACATTCTCTAGATGTGAAATAGAGAGACTTCCGGTAAGGTTAGTCAAATGGCGTAGCTCTTCAATACCACATCCTTTCCTTCTAAGCACTTTGATGGAAGACAATTTTCGTAGAGAAATCAACTGCCCCACGATATTGGCAGGAATCTCTGTGTCTGACATGAAATATCGCAGGCATATCAAATTTCTCATGGTTTCTGGAAACTGCTCAATATCTTCAGGCAACTTCAGAGTTTGCAAGTGGTATAATTTACCAATAGATTCAGGAAGAACATGGATACCCGTCTATGACAAATCAAGATACCTGAGATGCACCAACCCTCCAACTGAATCGTCTAACTTCTCAATCTTACAACCTTCGAATTTTAGGATTCGTATGCACTTTAATCGTTGAAATGAAAATTTCGTCTCAACTTCACCCTTAAAGAACAGTGTATGCAAAGTTCTAGCCATTTTATTCCTTTCAATGAATGTAGAAACTTTGGCTTTGAGTTCATCTTCCTCATTCTGTTCTTGGTAAAAAGCAAGATGTTTAACCTGAGGGATATGTGCAATATCAGCATTTGTCACATCCACCAGACATAGGCTTTCATGTTTTGAAAGTGACAATGAAAGATCATGCACCAGATCATGCATGCTACAATGAGTGATGTGACCATACTCATCCCTTTCAACATCTTCGAACAACGAATTGCTGACCAAAATTTGAAAAATATCATTCCCCACATCCTCCATCTCCTTGTTTCTTTCCTCATCCGCTTGAACCAACCCTAAAGCCATCCAAAGTTGGACCAATTCTTCCCTTTCCATGACCGTATCTTTCTTAAAGATGGAACAATATACAAAACATTGCTTGGCGATAGAATTGGGGAGATTATCAAAGCTCAGTTCCAAACTCTTTTGAACTCTATCCCTTTCTTCTTCCAGATCCCAAACCTTGCTATTTTTTTATTGACAACCACATCTCTGTGTCATTGTAATGTGCCAACATGCCACCTATTACATTTAATAGCAATGGTAAACCACCACATTTTTCTACAATGTCGCGGCCTATCTTCACCGGTTCCGGGGACGCTGAAGTGCCTGCCACAAACGCTCTTTCTCTGAAGATGTTCCAACAATGATCATCAGAAAGACCTTTTAAAGGACACAAATCCCTGATCATATCATGAGTTCCGATTTCAAGTTTCCGTGTAGTGACAAGAATGCCACTTCCATTTTGTGAGCTTACATTTAGCACACAACTCCTAAACTCTTCCTAGTATAGCCTCTCTTCGACCCAAACGTCATCCAAGACGAGCAAATATCTTTTTGATGCCAACTGCTCTTTAAGGCTTTCAATTAAATTGGTCCTTAAGTCTGAGGTAGGTTTCTTTTTGGCAAGAGACTCGTAGATCTTTGCAAGAAGTGTATTGATGTCAACCTTAACCGACACACACAACCATGCTTTAACATCAAAATGTTGCTCGATCTTTTTATCATTGTAGACCGACTTAGCCAAAGTGGTCTTCCCAATCCCGCCCATTCCCACAATGGGAACAATGCTAAGTTTTTCTTCTTTTCTTGATTGGGTTAAAAGTTCAATGATATGGAGTTTATCATTATCCCTCCCAACAATTTTAAATTCTTCTTGATTTGGAACAGTCTCTCTCCAACGCCAGCAGGGTGTTCATTTTGTAGTCCTAAACTGTTTGCTTCTGTATTGATCTTAAGCAACTTTTCATTGATGTTTTGGATTTTATGACCTATTTTATAACGAAAGGAAAACATTTTCAAGCTTGGAAGGCACACTACCTTTCTTGCCATCTGATCTTGTTTCTTTATTTGACGCCTCAGCATCTCGTAATCAACCTCATCCAACACATCATCAGCTTTACCCACTACATCTTTTAGCTGCTTCAGCCACACCATAACAACCTCTGATTCCTTTTTTCTCTCCGCATCACGTAACTTGGCATGAATCAGGTCCAACGTGTTGTGAAGGCTGGTCAGCTTTTCTTCGTAACCCCAGGCAATGGCCAGTTCACCTGCAGCAATAGACAACACCTTTTTCAATATCCCCTCAGCAGCAATAGTGACTAATGCTTCAGCCATTTTCACTGTTTAGAAGAGAGAGGAAGAGCGGATCACTGGTGGAAGAAAGATAGAAAACGATAAGAATCTATGAGATGGTGGAATAAAGAGAGACCCAATGAATGGAAATGGAGATTCATTTGGTGGTGTGTGTAGTGGAAAATGGTATCAAATTAGAATTGAAGGTGTCTACTAAGTTATACCTTTCCTAAGTTGCAAGTTTAGAACATACACTTTGCTAATTTTCTTTTCTTTTCTTTTGTTTTTACCTTCTGTCATTATTACTTATCTAAAATATTAATATATCATTATATTTTATGTTTTAATAGTTAATATAAAATGTTTCATTTATAAACTAGAATTGATCTTTGTAACTGGTTTATTTTCATTTACCTTTTGTCCTTTTGATATACCTCTATATTGTAATACGATATGTAAATATATCTTTCCATTTTAATCCCTACATTTCTTTATATGGGTGGAATACTTTTTTCGTATATGGAACATGGGAATTTTTGTAATAATTGTGTCAATGAGAATATAACTAAGAGAAAATTACATAAATGGTCCATTTGAAATCCAAAATTCGCATAAATCGTCCCTAACTTTTTTGCTTGATAAGGATGATCTATGTTGTTTTAATTTCCTGTGTAGTTGGTCTGTTTCATGTTATTACAAATTTGATCCAAAATTGTTGTTTTACCCCTTTTTATTGGTTTTTATTTTTTATATTTTAATTTAATTTAATTAAAAAAAATAAAAATCCATTAAAACTATCCCTAACCCAACCATCTCAGTTTGTCTTCATGCTTGACGCGATACCTCCCTAAATCTCATGCACTGTCTCGTTACTTCCCTCCGCAAACAAATGGTGACTCTGTATTTCACATTGTATTGGTTTGCAGTTTGTTTTTTCTTTGTGATCGTAATCATTGATCTTGTGAAGTTTTGGAGGATCTTCATACATATTGAGGATGAAACTCGGTTGCCTCTGAGCATGATTGCAATGAGATTTGGACTCTGAGCATGATTGATCTTGTGAAGTATTGGAAGATCTTTATTGTAACTGTTAATGTCATTTTATCGCAGCCCTACTTGCTTTTTATGTCGTCTTATATCTACTATTGCTTTAAATAGAAAGTAAGTTCCTATCAATTGACTAAAATATTATTCTTCTCATTATATAGCACTGTACCCTTCATTTATGTCAATTTATAACACTGTGCTTTCTATTTGTGTCTTCTTATAGCTAGTGTGGCTTTAAGCATAAATTAGGTTCCTATATATAAATTGAGTAAAATATTTTATTTATGTTATTAAATAGCAATGTACTTTTCATTTACATCATTTTATAGCATCCTACTTTCAATATATGCCATCTTATAACCATTGTGCCTTTAAATAGATAGTAGGTTGCTATAAATTGAATTAAATGTTATGTTTATGTCATTTTATAGCAGGGTACTTTTCATTTGTCATTTTATAGCATCCTGCTTTCTGTTACTGTCATTTTATGTCAACCTACTTTCTAGTTATGTCATCTTATTGTTATTGTGGGTTTAAATAGATAGTAGGTTGCTATTAATTGAGTATTGATCCGGATGAACAAACTATAATTGCTTAGCTCAACATGGAAGGTGAAAAGCCATCTGTTGTTCAATTGAGCATAGAATCTGTGGATGTCTTTTCATTGGGGAATTTTGTCAAACACTTGGTGTTCATAAAATAAGAGGGGGTTCATGGGTAATTCCCTGGTCAATCCTTTGTTGCAAAGCATTGCCACATTCCAGAAAAGGCTAATGACATAAAAACAGGTAAAATTAGCATCATAAAGAAAACCAACTTTACATAAATAAATAAACTACAGGTGACCTGATAAGATCACCATTAAAGAAACAAAGCTTCTCGTGGCTCATGCCACTAGGGTAAACTGGAAAAATAAATAAATAAAAAATACTTAGCAGTACCTCAAAAGCTCATTTGCATCGTCATCAGAGACTTTATTCTATCAATTGCATATGTGAGGAGGCAGCGATGGTGAGTTGAAAACAAAGACGGACAACGGGAGAAAGGTAACTTCTCCAACATTGCTTCCTTTTAAAGGATGTTCTATGAAGAGGGAAGACAAGAAAGAGACAACAAAAAGTTGTTAAATGATTCTAGTTTTTGTATATTTATTGTTTAGTATGAAACATGGGTCGTAATCTATATTATCATTATTTGGTAAAATCTGGTAATTACCTAAACAAGGATAGATGGTTTGGGAGGATCTTTTTCTCTCTTCATTATCTTAAATTAAAATTAAAATTAATTGAAAGGAAGAAGTCAAGAAGTCAAGATGGGGGGGGGGGGGGTGCTCTGCGGATCGCGTAAAGCCTCTGCGGAATTAGGATATCTCCGAGGAATTAAGTGTGAGGGTTAATTTAGTAAATTCACATAAAAAACGTCGTTCTTTGGCTTCCTTCGCTGTGGAAATAGGATTTTTGGGGGAGTTTGATGCGGAAGCAGAAGACGAAGACAGAGGAGATTGTTGCCTGACCAAGGATCAAACAAAAGAGAAATGGAGAGGCGATTCCGGAAAGTGCAAGAATTAGACGATGATGTCTTATCCGATGGGTATGGAACTCACGTAAGTGTTCCTCGTTTTGAATTTTGTATGAAACCCTAATTAGCATTACTAACGTCGTTTTTTGATTTTATAAATGTGTTATTGAATTAATATTATGTTGAGAATTATGTTGTGTATTGTATGATAGTGTAAGATATCACAAAAATCCTGATTCTGCCATGTTTACCTGAAGAACAATTCTGCAGAGGAGCTTTGTGAGGAACATATCTGCAGAGGACCTTTATGCGGATTGCAGAGGCCTCTGCGGATAGGGATGAGATTTAAAACCGGAAAACCGGACCGGAACCAGAACCGTTAGAATCGGAATATATAGAACGGTTCCAGTTCCGGGTTTAAAAATTGGCTTTATCCGGGTTCTGAGTAGTCCGGGTTTGGGTCCATCGGATCCGGGCAAACCGGGTCTAAGAACCGAAACCGGTGTTAAGAACCGAAACCACTTTTAGGGGTCGGAACCGGTTTTTGTGAAACGTTTAAAACATGCATATCTCATTTGTTTCAGGTCGGATTGACATACCATTTTTTCCAATGTGTATTTTAGAGTTTTTACATGATTTTAGACTATAAGTTTGTCGTTTTTAGTTTTATATTCATGGACTTACAGTCTATCAAAGTCGAGATATTAAAGCTGGAAGTTTTTAGTTTTTCAGCTTTTTTGTATTCTGTGAAAGTTTTAAAACATGCATATCTAATTTGTTTGAAGACGGATTGACATGTGGTTTTTTCAACTTGTAGTTTAGAGTTTGTACATGATTTTAGACTATAATTTTGTCATTTTTGGTTTAATATACAATGACTTACAGCCCCCCAAAGTCGGGATATCAATGCTAAAAATTTTCAACTTTTCACCTATTTGTTTTTGTACTTTGAATTCTGTGAAAATGTTAACACATGCATATCTCATTCGTTTAAATTCGGATTGACATGTGGTTTTTTCCAGAGTGTAGATTAGAGTTTGTACATGATTTTAGACTATAATTTTGTCAAATTTGGTTTCATATTCAATGACTTACAGTCCCCTGAAGTCGGGATATCAATATGAAAATTTTTTAAAGTTCAACCGACTAAATAGTAAGTAATTACAAAAAAAATCCGGGTTTTTCTGGTTTTCCGGTTCTAAACCCACTTTATCCGGTTTCAACCTACCCACTTTGATGTTTCCAGGTTTTCCGGTTCTAGACCCACTTTACTCGGTACCGTACCCGGAACCGAACCGGAACCGGTTCTATATACCGGTCCGGTTTTCGGTTCTACAAAATCCCGTTAACCGGTTCCGGGTTTTCCGGGTCCGGGTGCATCCGGTCTGAGTTTGGACCCACTTTCATCCCTATCTGCGTAATTAATTAATTAATTTTTTTATTTGACGATTTTGAATATGTTGAAAATGTGATTGGGATTTTGTTAATAGACAATGTTGTAAATGTGATTGAGATTGGTTAAATGTGATTACGATTTTTTATAACTACTTAAAATAAAAATATACTTTAATAAATTTATGTTAATTAGGTTAGTCTAGGTTAAAATTTATAACTATTTAAAATAACATTGTGTTTTGCTAATTGATGAAATATATGTTTTAAATTGTGTTACAGAAATTGTCCCTCTTGCATAGTACATTGCTATATCGTTTAAAGAAATTTATCTTATATAGCTTAGGTTAGGTTAGATTAGGTTTAAAATAACATGGTTTGATAAATTTATGTTATATAAATTAGGTTAGTTTTAAATTTATAACTATTTAAAATAACAATGTACTTTGATAAATGATGAAATTTATTGTTTTACACAAATTGTCTATCTTGCATAGTACATTGATATATCATTTAAAGGAATTTGTAGTATTGATGTAATAATTTGCCATATATATTTGTTATCTTTTGCAGCAAAGAATGCGAGGATGGCCTGCAAAATTAACTTTTAAAGGGGTGGTGGGAACCGTGTTGAGGAAGTTCATTCCAAAACTAAATAGTAGGCGACTCGAATTATTTCGAGAGAAACCGTTTGGGATCTTCATTGGTATGTCCACCCCGAATGGTGGCCGGATGCTTTGTCATTTGATGATGTTGCACGAGGTTCGTGATTTATTGTTTAAAGTCGTTTCCTAAGCTTAGGGTTGCCACACTTGGTGTTATGAGAGTCCCTAAGTCCGAAAGTTGCCATCTTGGAAGTCTTGTTGCATCCATGCATCACTTTTGTTCATTTTTAAGGATATAGGTTGTTATATTTCAAGTTTAGGTCCATTTGGGGGCATGAAAGCCGCCAAGTAATCGACTTTATGGGTTAAGACCCTTCAATGGACTCATATCTGTGTTTGGAGCTTTAGATCTTAAGGGATTAAGCTATTTATGGGATTATGGCTTAACAGGAGAGTACGTTAAGCGTACAAGCCCGTATG